GAGGAAGAGGGCCAGCAACAGAGGAGGGGGTGTGCCAAAGACACCATCTTAGCACCAACATAACTGGTTTGTTCCACTTTGGAGTAAGCTGTTTGGGGAAATAATCAGTTTTGTGTTGTGTGTTTCCTTGACTGATGAAGCCTTCTGGATGGAAGGTGAAACGTTTCAGCAAAAAAAGAAACTGTCCAGATGACCTGACTGAAAATTGTTGGGCATAACAACAATGTGTTGTTTTTTATTTTTTATTTTTTATTTTTTTTTTTTTTACAACTGGGAGCAGCTGATCAACATTTTTAAAGCTCAAATAATATCTCAGCTACAGTCCCCAATCTTAAATGAGTTGGAAAAAGAGATGCCATGGATGCATTCCCGTCTCCTTGCCGGCTGTGCTCAAGTGCCTGACCACTGGAATCCTGGAATTAGTAGAAAACATGGCTTGTGAGCGAGGAGTGGCCATCGCTCTGGGAGGAGTGGCCATCGCTCTGGGAGGAGTTCAACCTGGCATTTGGGCGATCCTGCTGCCCGGAAGAATCGATATGCCAGCCAAGTCTAAGTGGATGGATCAGACAGCATCTGCGGCCATTTTATTCGGATCCACTGTTTGACGGACCTTTACAAGAGATCCTTCCTGCCTACAGCCACCAGTATCTATAACATCTCTTAATGAAACGAGGATAACGAGTTACAACAATATTCAATTTCCCCTTTGGGATTAATAATGTATTTTTGAATTGAATTGAATTGAAAATACGAAACCATCACAGGAAAATTATCACTGAGTTCTTTTATTATATAAAGAGAAAAATAAAAACTATTTAATTAGACAGCTGAATATTTTGGATAAAACAGAACTCACAATATTATTGTTTCCCATCTTTAACGGAAAACACTATTTTTTTTAGCTTTCAGCTCCATTTTATACTATGACGTTTTATGTTTGCAGATGACATTGTGGTATGTAATAAGAGTAGGGGGCAGGTGGAAGAAAGCATAAAGAGGTGGAGAAAATGGTTTGGTCTTTTTAATGTCCATTTTCACTAAATGATCAGTCTGACTGACATATTGGCTGTTAAATATTCATATCATTAAGATGATATATCTTTACTGAAAATTTTATTTAAACATTCTTCACTTTTTATGAAGATTAGTAGTAATATATTCCTTCGTTTAGAGCATAATAATTGTTTATATTTGGCTTATTTGATAGGAAATCCATTTTTATTGTCTGCTGCCAAAAGGCAAATATGGAATATATGGTTAGGTTTCATGACTCCAAAAATGGGTTGTAATTAAACTTTCGAAACTTATTGCGTTGGCATCTACAACTGATTAACATTTGGCCAGTCCAGTTCAAAATGGCCTCCACAGACAATCATTACCAAACACAAAAATGGCTATAACTCCGTCAACTTTAGACAAAGAAAGAATTTAATGTAAGATCTAGGAGTCAATCCTAACACCTAGTATGTGAGTTCATGCATAATGTTAAATATAAGTTTTGACAAAATAGACAACTATATCATTTTTCAACATACTATAAAAACACATAAAACGCTGCAGGTTCAAGTGTTCAGCAGTCCTTCAAGGAATGCTAGGCTCATTATACCTTCTCCTTTTGCCCATTTTCTTACAACAGCAATTCTTTTACAATTTCAGCAATTTATTTTCTTGTTCTTTTACAGTTTACAAAACCAGATATGCTGTTAAAATCTCTCAAGAGAAGAGATTTTCTGCTTTCTGCCTTGGGATATAATGACACCTTGGGAAAACTTGTTTCTGTTTGTATTTTCAGAGGGTGCATGCAGTAAATATTATAAAATGGTGGAACTAAATGGTTTGTATGACTTCATATTCACCTGTTTATTTGATTTTTAAAGGTATTCGTCAAACTAGAGCTCGGCTAAATATTTTGTGAGCTCACAAAACCCAATTGTTTAATCTAATTGGGTTTTAAAATATTGTAAAATAAAACATAATTAAACAGATACAAAGAGAAAATACCTTCAGGTGTCAGTTCCCCTAAAGATAATGAACATTGTGGATTGTCTTTAAATTGACTCTGGGCTGGCGGTAGTTTAGGGGCTGAAATAGCATCCCATTAATCAGAAGACTGGTCACCCCCCACCCCCCCATGCATGGCAGCAAAACACAAAGAATGGCACAGGAAGCAATGAAGTGTAGCTCTGTACATGAGTAAATAGGGATGTAACGGCACTTTGTGGTTACAGTTGAGTACGTAGCTCAGTATGAGGATCATGTACAAGAAAAAAATAAAGCTAATGCTACTTTTTTCTTTCTTATTTTTACACACTATTTTCCCAGAAGCAGAGACAAAATAACCTCTTCCACCTTTTTTTTTTTTTTTTTTTTTTTCCGGTGGGGTAGCAGGGTGAACACTCAAAAGCAATTGGTTATGTATGGCAAGATGCATGCCATTAACCCAGTAACTAAGGAATGCTATATTTCCAGAAAATATGACAAAAAAAATTAAAATTCAACAAAAACCAAAGTGGTTCAAAACATCCTGATTCATGCTCAATAATCCAGGTAGAAAATTCAGGTTCAGGTTTGGAATATTTGTCATACGCAAAATCAACACAAGAGCGACAGTGCAATGAAATGCTTAGGACGATAAGTACCGTCTCGACTCGCCAAAAAATAAAGCATGCAGCAAAAACACTAAAAACATACTAAAAATACTACTAAAATACTAAAAACATACTAAAAAATACTATTAAAATACTTTAAAACAAGGCGCCAAAGTTGAAAAAGAAATAAATCTACAGTGTGGTTCGGTTAGCAGTGAGGTTTTTTCCAACATCGTGGTTTCTGTTCTGTTAGCGGGGTGGTCTTGTTAGCAGGTCCGGTCAGCAGCTTGATGGTAATACAGACCACAGCAGCTGCCCTCACAGACCGCAGTCCAGAACCGGGTCCAGCCGACAGAGAACAGCCAAGGTTTCCCCGCGGAACCGAATGGGTCTGCAGAGTTCGGTCCATACAGGCAGATGGAGGATCTTGTTAGGAGCATTAGCATCATTAGCAGCGTTAGCAGGCCTGCTAGCAGCTTGATGATGATAACGACCGCTAATCCAACAAAGTCAAGTCATGTCCTCTGGAAGGATTCTTTTTGTTGAAACGTTTTGTCTTTCATCCAAAAGACTTCATCAGTCTGAGGAGCCGCAACAAACTCAGTCTTATAAATTGCTCCTTGACATAGTGGGTCAACCATTTTTATTGTGAATAAATTGTTTATATGTTCAAATAATTTCATTCTGGTTTTTTACATTTTGCATAACGTCCTAACTTTTTTCAGAATTGTGGTTGCTGATAAACTGCTTGGACTTTTAAGTGCTAAGCAGATGCTCTTGTTTGAGCACTATAATTGAATTTAAAGCACAAAAGGCAGAGCCGCTATCGACTGCTACCAATTGTGCTAATAACTTTCTTCCACTTCTTCTAGCGCTCCTTACTTTCTTTTGTTTTTGTTTAGTGGCTCCAACTTTTCTGTATTTTACATTGTTCCCTATTTTTCTATCCATTTCAGCATATGTGTTATGATTAATAGTTAAAAAGTATACCCACTGAATTTTCAAGTTTTGCACGTTAAGACATAATAAACGTCACCTGGCCTTGAAAATAAATGTAACGAGGTAAGCACAGCTTGGAACGAACAATGCAGAGCATTTCATTGTGTCTGGTATTTAACTAAGGCGAAGAAAAAAAGTAGAAGCTGAAGGTGAAAAACTGTGTTTTTCAGTTTAGTTCTGTTCAGTTTTATTTCTATAAACCAGTTCTTAAGACGGTATACCCCCAAAAAGCTAAAAGGTCCAATGGGAATCCATGCTATCCAATTTATTGTCCCCAGCAACTGAAGGGACTTGAACTTCATCCATCCATCCAGTTCGTCTTGTGAGCTGGATAACTTGAAAAACAAGGGAGATACCAACGTCCATTTTGGTGTGTAGCTGCATCTAGATGTAAGTAAGATCCCTATCAAAAACTGGGTTGCCATATCAAAATCCAGAATGACCACCATATACCATCGGTATACATAAACTGACCAACTCAGTCATTTGAGGAAATTATGCTTTGTAGTTTTTGTATTGCTTAAATGTATAATTTCCTGAAATGACTGAGGTGACCAATGGCCAAAGCCACCATTGTCCACCTACTGGCTCCGCCAAATGGTGGTAGATAAAATTGCTTCCGCCGCTTGCCAGGATTCATCACGCTGCATCGCCTCGGACAAGCAGAAAAGAATTAACTCTGTTCTTCTACAGTGTAACTCCTACCTACTTGAATATCTTGCACCAAAAACATTAAGGTTCACTTGCATTCCCTGTTTAACTCCAGTCCAGATAAATCTCATCTTGAAAACTACAAACAGTCACTACTAAAATCCCTCAGTGACCTGGGACATCTGCGTACCGCTTGTTTCAATTTAATCCAGCTCTTTTGGATGCTTTTATCCTTTGAATATTTTGTCTAACGATAGATTGATGACATCCAAACTGTTTTGAAATGACCTTTAGCCTTTCCCAAACTGATGGGCAGCAACATTTGCTACTCTGTCATTGCTGATATCTATAAGCATTGGGATTGTTTTGACACACATGAACATTATGCTCCAGAGCAGCAAATGGTCAAAGTGTCTGTTATTATAGATGTGGTCACACTAATGATAGTTGATCAATACATTTGTTCAAAAACACCTAGATGATACTAATCATAGCCATGTAATTTCTATAAATGTACTATGGGTACAACCTTGTTGCATGTTGCTTCTGCATTTTGGCTTAAAATAATTGGACTGTTCACACTGTGCTTGTGTCTGTGTTTGCAGGAGGTTTGGGCTTGCTGGTGCGAGCTGCTGTCTTACTTAGAACAGGAAAATGCCTTCCTGGATCAGCTGGAGCAGAAGCTGGATGAAACTGATAACTTGGAAGGGAGAGCTGAGGAGCTGCAGGAAGCTCTCGATGTGAGTATCAGGAGAGGACAGAAGACACTCCACAGTGTAACTCTGAAGGAATAAAGAGGTTTCTTGATTTTAATCAAGTCGCATTGAAATTTGGTTCAGAAATTCAAAAAAGGACGGTGACGCCTCCCTGTCTTTTAGGCGGTTTCTTGCAAAGAACACAAATCAAGAACAGCAAGGACAATTACTGTCAGAAAATTACATTTATTTAGTTGTTTAAATAAAATAACTTTAACCTCCAAAGGTAAGGCCCCTATGACACTTCACAACTCAACAATTTCAACAACCTATTAGATATTGCTAAATTGCAATAAATTTGGAAAACCTACTTCTGTGTGAAGGCAATCATGGAAACTCTCAGTACATGCCAAATATTCCACATCCTTGAGGCACACTCCTGCACCTTCACCACCCGCACAGAAAAACTTTTGGAACCGCATGTATTAAGTGTGCATCTTGTTGTATCCATGCTCTTCCACACCCAATCGTGGCCAATCCTCTTTTCAGTTTGTCAATGACCCAGCCATACTGATGCATATAAACAACATTCCATGAAAATACTGCCATCACTGTCTCTCATACTTCAGTATTGATGACACCTTTATCATCCACAGTGTCACTAGAGAAGTTTTGTACATTTTCAAAACCATCTTGAATCTTACACTCTTCATCACATGTAATTCGGAGCCCAACACATAGCCCAGCACAACACAAAGACGGGTCGCGGGGTCAACAGCTTGAGCAGGGAGAACCAGACATCTTTCCACAGCCACCTCTTCCAGCACTTCTGGAAGGACCCCAAGGCATTCCCAGGCCATCCAAGAGACATAGTCTCTCCAGCTTGTCCTGGGTATTTCCTGTAGTTTCCTCCCAGTCGGACATGCCCGATGCACCTCTCTAGGGAGGCGCTTAGGGAGCATCCTTACCAGATGCCCGAACCACCTCAATTGGATTCTCTCGATATGTAGGAGCAGCGGTTCTACTCTGTGTCTCTCCTGGATAACTGAACTTACCCTATCTCTAAGGGAGCATCCAGCTACCCTGCGGAGGAAACTCATTTCAACCACCTGTATCCGTGATCTCATTCTTTCGGTCACTACCCAGAGTTCGTGGCCATAGGTGAGGGTAAGAATGTAGACCGACCGGTAAATGGAGAGCTTTGCCTTTTAGCTCAGCTCCCTCTTCACCACAACAAACTGGTACAGAGTCTGCAATATTGTAGATGCTACACCAATCCATCTGTAAATCTCATGCTCCAGTCTCTCCTCACTCTTGACCAAAACCCAAAGATACTTGAACTCCTCCACTTGAGGCAAAACATGACCCTTGACTCGAAGAGAGCAACCCACCCCAGATTTGGAGGTGCTGATTCTCATCCCAGCCGCTTCACACTTGGCTGTGAACTGCTCCAATGAGAGCTGGAGATGACAGCACGATGATGCTAACAGGACAACACCATATGCAAAGAGCAGAGATGGAATCCTGAGTCCACCGAATTGGAATCTCTCTGCCCCCTGGCTGCACCAAGAAATTCTGCCCATAAAAGTTATGAGCAGAATTGGTGACAACGGACAGTACTAGCGGAGTCCAACTCCCACCCTGAAGTAGTACAACTTACTACCGGCGATGCAAACCAAACTGGACTGAACAGCCCATAGCAACGGGCCGCAAATCTTATACTCACAGAGCACCCCCACAGTGTACCCCTAGGAACATGGCTGAATGCCTTCTCCAAGTCCACAAAACACATGTAGACTGGATGGGCAAACTCCCATGACCCCTCAAGGCCCCTAGTGAGGGTAAAGAGCTGATCCAGTGTTCCACGGACAGGACAAAAGCTGCATTGTTCCTCCTGGATCTGAGGTTCGACCAATGATCGGACTCGCTTCTCCAGTACACCTGAAAAGACCTTACCAGGGAGGCTAAGGAGAGCAATGCCCTTTAATTGGAGCACACCCTCTGTCCCCATTTTTGATGAGGGGAACCACCACCACAGTCTGCTAATCCAGTGGCACCACCCCAGATGTCCACACAATGTTGCAAAGGCTTGTCAACCAAGACAGCCCCAAAACATCCAGAGCCTTAAGGAAATCAGGGTAAATCTCATCCACCCCCAGAGCCCTGCCACCACAGAGCTTTTTAACTACCTCTGTGATCTCAGCCATGTTTATGGACAGATCAACCTCAAAGTCCCCTAACTCAGCTTCCTCCATTGAAGATGTATTGGTGGAATTGAGAAGGTCTAAGAAGTATTCCTTCCACCTCCCGACAACATAGCCATTGCTATACAGTGTAGATTGCTGTATAATGGTTTGTAGATGGGCGTATAATGTGCCGTATGTGGTACTCTTGTTTTTTCATTATAGCAGTGTTGTCATCTGATCTGAGTGGTCCTAACAAGGTAGTGTTGACCATTTAATTTCTTTATCTTCTTTGTAGTATTTACATTAAAAAGAAAGTGATTCTTTCTGCATCTTGCTGCAAAGTTTGAATGATGTGTACTCCTATTTCTTCTTGTTATAGATGATTTTCCTTAGTGGTAAAAGTAGCTTTTAGCTAATGTTAGTTATTGTACTCTGGTTGTGTGACTAAACTTTTAATATCGAGAAAGATTTACTCAGCTCGTTAGAAGGTTAATTTAAAAACACTATATTTTGATTTAAACTTGTAATATCCCAAGTTACTGTGGCCCTACTTCTTCATTCTAAAAGATGATTGAATCTTTTGGCATGGCAAATTCATGTGATATCAATATTCTGATGCTATGATGGTTAATTTTTCTGGTATGCCGCCATGTCTGCAGAGCCTCGAGATTCTTCTGCAGCACCCAGAAGACAACAGGAACCAGATCCGAGAACTGGCCCAGACGTTGATGGATGGTGGAGTTCTGGATGAATTGATCCAGCAGAAACTAGATGCATTCAACATTCGATGGGATGAGCTTATGGCAAGGGTAAGACACCTCAGAATTTGTACCTTACTGGTTTTATTTGTTCTCAGACATGACGCCATCAAAAACCAAATGCGTCCATGCCCTCGCATCCCTAAAGGTCATATCGCTTTTGAATCATGACTGCTTCCAGGTTAATTTTGGTTTCACCTATCCAAACCTTTTTGCTCTAAAGTCCACTTGGCTTTCCAAGAATTGTTAGAATTGCTTTTTCTTTTGAATTCCTTTTTAATCCTTGTTAGACTTTCTAGTGGTAGAATTTGAAAATAACAGGACCTCTTCCTGGAAACATCGTTAAGCTTTGCTATTTACTATTTGCATTCTTAAGTCGGTGCTTACAGGATGTAAGGAGACAAGTTGCATCTTAAAATTGTCAGAAAAGTCCATGTAAATGGCCAAATCTACAGTTGCAGTCTCCCATAATTATGTATTTGTGGCCAACAAGTCTTGTAGCTGCTGTTTGAGCAACCAGTCTTTGAAAAGAACAGTTTTAGATGGTTTTGGGAGAACACTGCATCTATTTGGAGAGAAAAGTTGTTACACTAATTTCTTGAACTTGTTTGAAATTCTATTTAAAAAATGGAGTGAAAATAAATTGAGCGTAGCTTTTCTGCTACAGTTTTGTCTTTTTCGTGTACATGACAACAGTGTTCATTTCCTCTGAAATTGAAAGTTTTTGAATCCAGGTCTCAGAGTCTGTTTTTTTTTTTTTTTTTTCATCCTTGGTCTTAACTAATGTTCCTGGATTCACCATTTTGGATAGAACCACTTTGTTTATCAAGTTGGGACTGCATGTATGTCTCTTGAAAGCATGTCATCAGTGTTGCCAGATAAATGATAATTACCCTTTTAAGAGCCCTTCTTTTCTGTACATATGTTTGCCAATCCTGGACTATCTACTGAATCTTGTTTGCTAACTAGTTTGCAAACCATCGTTGCCCAGTGAGATACAGGCTTTATCAGTAAGGGAATTATCCTTGGAGGGAAAAATAAACTATTCCACTTTGTATTTAACCTATAGGTATATGGTCAGTGAAACTCTAAAAGGCATATTGTAGTGTGGTAAATCA